TATCTTGATGTTCCTGAGTGTTTTTAATACAGTCTTTTCACTCTGTCCTTGGTACATGCCAAAATATCTGCATTTAGTCAGTGGTTTTTATGTTTATTGCTGAAGGGTAAAGTGTGTTTTGTTTGTTTTGTTGTCGTTCGTTTGTGTGTGTATTTTTTTATGTTTATTTGGTTTTGTTTGGGTTTTTTGTTTGTTTGGTTGGTTGGTTGCCAGTGCCAGAACTATGCTTCCCTATCATTTTGACACACAAGGAAGTTGATATGCATATGGTATTCTTTTACATTATTTACCCTGGACCCTGCTTAGTGACTTAAAGAGTGAAGAGTGGGAAGGACTTTGTCTTATGATTCAGCATGGATGTACTAGTGATCATTTGTGTGTAGGGCATGCTATTTGGGAAGTGTTTGAAGGATTGTTATACATTGGAAGTATTTAAAGTACAGCCAAGCAAGTTTTATGACCTGCTTTTGAATCTATGAAAGTTAGTTCATGGCAAATTTGAATGACTGTTAAACCTCTCAAAGTCCTTGGTTGGGACTTGAAAGATAACAAGCCATGTTTCTCCTCAAGGAGTCAGCTTATCCAATGTTTGGGTTGTATTACTGGTTGAATAGTAAGTTGAAGTCAGAAGTAGGTCACTAATATTACTTCCTGTATTACTATTACACAAATTGCTTCAGATTAATTCTTGTTTACAAATTGCTACATTAATTGTTACTTTATGGCAAAGTAATGATAAAAAGTTTTATTTGTGTAAAAATACAAGTATATGAATATATACTTAACGTATTTATATACTGAGGTCCACTTTGCCTTATAGCAAACATATGCACTTATGCTCATAGAGAGTGCATACGTGGATGTGTATGTGCATGTGATGATTTACATATTCCTTATTCTCGCTTGAATGTATTATGAAACAAAGTTTCTATTCATATTAGTTCATACTTAATATAGTTCTAATACATATTCCATTTTAAGAAAATGAAAAGAAACAAATTTGTGAACCAAGTCAGGTGTTCTCATGTCCATAGAGTAGTAAAGTAAAATGGAGTTTTATTTTGCTGTGTTTATTTTATGTGGCATCAAATGTTTTCACATAAAATTTTATCAAGCTTACTTTAGTACTTTTGATTCTATAAATGACTGATGCATATTATTGAAATAGAGATAGTTCTGACTGAACTGAATATATTTAGTAAAACATTAAGGAATCTGCATCTATGTTAAGACAGCCACTTGAATGACTTATTCTGTGATTAAATCTATCTCAATATACATTACTGTTGCACTATCTCTTTCTGCCAGTTCAGGAGTCCATATTTTTCTGCTTATTTTAGATACTATTGCTAATATTCATTATGCACCAACAAAATATACCTTCATGTTGTAATATGTGTTTATTATGCCTAATTGAAAAGTGTGCTTATTAGTGACTGTATGTATATAGTTATTAGCACATTTATATGTATGAGAGTAAAGAATATAAGGAGTGGTTTTAAAGCCTCATTTAGATTTCAGTTGAAAAATAATGTAAACTGGATATATTAAAAGAAAAACTAGTATTTTTACCTTAATATTTTTTATTAAAACATATATTTTATTTTATGCTTAACATTTTAAATAGTTTTTGGATCATCACAATGATTTTAAAGTTTTGTGTTTTTTTATTTTCCTTGAGTAATATCACTACATATTCATATTGCAGTTGATATTTTTTTGGGCTATGATGCTTATGATCTGAGCTATGGATACCACAATGTGAGACCATACAACAGATCTCACATGACAGGTTTATTGGGGGAAGGTGGTATACTGACACTGCCTGGGGGTGAGGATGGAGGGAGAAAGAGAGTAGGGAGAGGAGGCACTGGCTTTTTATAAGGGGACATAGCACACACGCACAGGGAGGATATATGACTCATGATGACAATGGATAAGTGTAGTGAAAATGTTTCACAACTTGGCACCAGTGATGATATATCCTGTTGTTTCTGGGTCCCTGGGGCAGGCCAATGAAGAATCTGGTTGTTAACAGTACTGTCATGACCATGTATGCATCATTGAATACACCACTAAAGTAAGGAAAGACATTTTTAGAGAAATGACATTTCAAGTTATTCTATTAATATAAGACTTTTAAGTTTTGTTTATTTTTATATGAGTTAATACATATATTAAATAAATTTATTTTAATCAATAAGCATCTCCCACTAATTAATATTTAGTACTTAACTATTCTGTCTCTATATATAAATAGGTTCTTGTTTCTAAGAGATTTTTGAAAAGTAGTATTTACATATATTACTGAATAAATCTACAATGTAAACTATAGAGAGAATATGCCCAGATTATATACAAGCTGGAATTCCTAAATCAATGCACCCTGAAGTTTATACGACACCTAGGACTGAGATGTAATGTTAGACAATTCCTTTTATCTGTTTGCTGAAGATTAAAGCATCAGCCAACTAGTGATAACTTGGATTATAGTTAAGCATTAGCTGAGTTAATCCAGGATACTAGCATATTGCTCATTTGTTGTACATGACCTGGGAGTGGTAAGTTTGTTACCAAAGATAGATTCACATGACATCAAGTTTCTCATTGACACTCTAGACTGGGAAGTCATGTGATTTAGAAAACCCACAGAAAGAATTGCCAGAGAGAGACTCTAATAGAACTGTCAGTATCCACAATCTGTGCTTGTAAGTTTTAGGTCACTGTGTGAGAGCATGTGAATCATCACAGATATTTAATTTAAGTAGTACCTTAACTACCAATCATTAAGTGAAAAGGGACCAAGGTTGAAGTTTGATATTTAATGAAGGCTGCTGGACCGGCCGACTATCTTCTGTTTAGCTCAGGCCACCATGCGCTGCGGCCTGAAGCCAAGTGCTCTACAGCTGGAAGTGGCTAGAGGCCACATGCATGCCACAGCTTGGCACCCACGAGACACCAGCGCGGGAGATGGCTCTGCCAATCTTCCATGCTGTCTCCACAAGGCTGGGCTGAGCCCAGACTATCCCGCCATCCACGCGGTACCCAGTATGAATGAGACTCTAATGCTTAAAATCAATCAGAGGCTTTATATGTTTGGTAATGCTCAATAACAAGATGCCACACAATTGGAGGTGTTTTCCAATTAACTAACCTAGATATAAGTTGTTACCCAGGACTGCTGTCCATACATGCGTGGCTCTCCATCCTCCTACATCTCTGCCTCAAGCTAACTCCTCCTCTCCCTTCCCCTCTTCCTCTCCTTACTCTTCCTACTGTAGCTCCTCCCAACTTGTGGGGAAAATTTCCCGCTACACAGTGACTACTTAGTTCCATTAATTTTTTTTCTTCTGTCCAAAGTAATGTTGATAGCTTTTCTGTTAGGTACTGTTAAGTAGTCTAAATTTAACTTGGTAAACAAGCTAAATCCCATCTGCCAGCAAGTTCTTGTAAAGTCCTAGACAGAAGAATTTTTAAGGACTATAAACAAAACAAAATATTAAGACAGATATGTGACAGAAATCATATTGGCCAAAATGGAAGCAAAACTTAGGATCGTGTTTTATATGATTTTTGAGAATGTATGCAAATGTCTGTGTGTTGATTGGTACATCAACTCATTTTGCATTGTTATTTGCTAATTTAAGCATGTAATTTTTTACTATATAATGCTACTTTATACTTTATATACTATCTTTTTTCTAGTTAAAGCATTTATTACGCTTCATCACCTTTAGGTAGATAGAAAGATAGGTCAGTCAGTAAGAAATGACCTGTGGAAATTATATTTTCTCCAGATATAGTAATAACTTATAAATTTTGATGGCTGAGGATAGACATTTTATACTCAAACACTAACATATTGTTTATTGGTTAATATGTTGCAAACTCTGATTTTAATGTATGCATCAATGTACAGGCACTTTGTCTTTCAGGGCTCTCAGTTACTTTTGAGGGGTCTCTTAATACTCTGCCATTGGCGCTGAAGTTAATATTCTAAGTGTCAGTTAACATTATGTTAAGCTTGGGTAAATTATAATTTAATTAAAATGATTTTCATTTGTGATTACTTGCTGAAATATTTTGTTTCTAATCTCTGACAAGTCCCAGTAAAACACCCACAGCTTGTCCTGTATATAGTGTTGACATTATCATCTTTTATTCTTAGGTATTTTATTGAATGTATTATCATAGTTTGGATCATGGAGTAAGAAATCACCAGCTTAGTGATGCTGAGTTTCTATTACTGAATTTTTTGGTTGACTTATGTCTCAAGTGTGATCATTTTAAAATTCTCAAATGATTCTGATGTGTAGTCTAGGTTATGGGCCACTAATCTAAATTGAGGCATATCTCTAGAGCTTCAAATACCTAGCTTTTGGGTGGTAATAACATTGCTTAGTTGTGTCTGTCAATAAGAAAGCATCAAGGATGTGAGATTAAGGCTGGAACTAGAGTGCTTCAGAAAGATTTAGTATCTGAAGGAAGGCTTGTGGAAGTCTCTCCTGGGGCTGGAGAGATGGCTCAGCAATTAAGATTACTGCTGTTCTTCCACAGGACATTGAGTTGTTTCCAAGGACCCATGCGGGGCATTTCAGAACCAACTGTAGCTACAGCTGTAGGTTTGTGGTACCCTCTTCCTTCTGCCTTCTGTGGCAACCCTACACATTTCATTCACGTACACATATTCACACACCTATACATACACACATAAATAAAAATAATAAATATCACCCAACTTTAGTTCACAGACGTTGAAGAGAGTATGTTAGGAGAAATGTTGATGTCATATGACTATATAGGAATGAGTTTATTTAATGAATTTCCAGGAAACCTTCATGCTAAGTTGATTTTGTTAGTATGACTGAATTTTAATCAGTTTTGTACTGAGGGTATGTTTAGTAGGAAACAGACTAATTTCTTTCGTTTACAGTTACATATAAAGTAAAGACAAGGCTATGTTAAAATAATTGTGCTTATTTATTTGTTTGATTTACTAGGATGAGAAGAAGAAACCGCAAAACGAGGAGATACGGTGTTTTGGATACTAACATAGAGAACATGGAATTGACACCTTTAGAACAAGATGATGATGATGACGACACCACACTGTTTGATGCCAATCATCCTAGAAGGTATGTTGCCACAGTGTGTCAGGATGCAAACCTGTGCCCAGACAGTTGAAGCACACTTCGTTTTGCAGTCTTTATTCTAGTAGATTTTACTGGGTTCTATTTAATGAATTTCTTTGTCCTGCCCAAGCCATGGATTTCATTCAGAAGGCTTTGCTGAAATTGATATAAACAACAGTGTACATTTTCTAAAATGAACTTTCTCTTGGCAGATATCTTTGCAGTGTTTGCTTGAAATGTTTTCTTCTTGCAGTTTGCGTTACCTTAGCATATATTTGCTTATGTTTGTTTTTGAGAAATGTTTAGTAAACATGCATTTAGTCTTACAATCTGAAATGATTTTGTCAATTCACATATTTGGTTTGCAAACAGTACTTCCTGATCGAATTGTAATTCTAGAAGTTTTCTGTTTCATGGCATAGCTGTGATCTCTCTATTCAGATCTAGTCTCACAACACATCAAAATCTTCCCTAAGGTGTTTGGAAAAACAAAATTACAAGGGCATATGAATTAGTATCAGTGCAAATGGAGTGAGAAGAGACAACAAAGGTTCCCGCAGGTAGGAAAGGTATGCTAAGAGCGCACAGGATTTTCTTTTGAAGGCAAAGTAGAATCTAGAATCTTATAAATCAGAGGGCACAGAAATCTCTTTTACTTGATGAAATTTATTCTTTAGCAGTTTCATATATGTATATAGTACATTCTGCCTAACTTCACTCCCATCTTCTCTCCCTCTCCCCTGGAGTCCCTTCACCCTCTTTCTTACAAGATTCTCTTCCACAGTCGTGCCTTTTGGTTCAGATGCAGTGAGTTTAACCTGTGAACACAGGTGTGCACATATCCACTGGAGCATGGTGGTCTCGTAGTCAGGTCTGTAACTGCTGTGCATGACTTCCCTTTACCAGAATTGTTTAGTAGCCAATAGCTCAGCATGGAGGAATCAGGCCCCAGTTCATGACTGGCTATTGACAGGTTCAGTGGTATAAAGGCCCAGTGCAGAAGATTCAAGCTGCCCTTTCCAATAGTTGTGCCATGTTCTGGAGACAGCATCCCATTGTCCTTCTGTGTAACTTCCAGCTGTTGTATTCTTTCCACTCACTCTTCTCCAAAGTTTTCTGAGCCTCGCTGGGGTGGCTTAAATGCCCTGCTTAGGGCTAAGCTTTCAACTACCACTTAGTAACAACTTCAGCAGCCCTAATTCTGCATTCACTGTCGTTCCTTGCAGAGAGATGTCTGTGATTAAGGATAAGAGTAACATTTGTCTATGGCTATAAACAGATATTTAGAATGCAGTTTGGTTCCATGTCAATTTATCTGAATTATAGTAGTGAATCCCCCACTGGGCCCTATGTTCCCAAGCTTCTAGCTATGTGATTTTGTTCGTTTGTTGTTGTTCTTGTTTTACTATGTTTATAATGCCAGGCAAACATTCCTCTGGTAGAGGCCTAAAATCCTATGTAAAAGCCATTGCTTACCCTTGTACTAGTTGCAATACTATTGCACCAGTGGGCATATCATGCAGGTTGTCATTTTAGTAGTTAAGATTCATGCAGGGTTACTTTTTTGTATTACTATAGAATTGAATAGCTCAACTTTTGTTACTTTTGTTTAGATCCCAAGATTTTTCTGTTGTTAGGATGAAGATATCCTATATAGCTGAATAGCATTGCTCCCAGAAGCCATTATTTATTAAATAAAAGTCTCAGTGGCAAATTTGTGATTTTTCTTTAAGAGTTGATAGTTGAGAGTGCTAGCATTCCTTATGGTGTCTTCCAGCCCCAAGAAAGCTTTTAGGGAGAAAGCTCATGGCTCAGTTCTAGTTCGGTTTCTCTATATCATGGATCTGAATGTGTGTTGTCTTCAGCAATGGATGCTCTCTTCATCTGGTTCTGATGGACTTACAAGAGGAATGGCAAGAGTGTGTTGTTGTTTGGTGTGTAAGACTGGTTTTTTTTGGCTATCTCTTTTGAAAGTATGGGCCAGCTAAATTTGTTAACTTGCATTTAATAGTAAATATATTTAATTTTTATTTATCTTCATATTAGAATCAGAAGAAAAATAATATGCAGTAGCATGAGCACAAAGACGTACTGAGTGAAAGGATGACGACCTTGGGTACCACATCAAAGTACTAAGTAAACAAGGCTTTATAGTTGATTTACTCTTTAAAACTATTATTATCATTTGTAATGGCCATAATTATATTTAATTATGCTAGATATGTATGAGATGTCTGCTATATACACTCATAGAAAGGAAAGACAAAATGAAATTTACAGTTTATGATTACCTCCAAAGAACTCAATTGGAGTATCAATTCATCTATATTAAATACTTTGTAATTTGAGGGTGAATCATCCTCCATACATTCTTGTTTGAATACTTGGTTTCAGCTGGTAGCATTGTTTTATCAAGCTTGTAAAACCATTAGCCAGTAGAGACTTGCTGAAGAAAATAGGATACTGTCAGTGCAGCTTACCAGTTCAACACCCAGTTCCAGTTCCCCGACCATGGATACAATGTGAATAACCACATTGTCACCCTCTTCCCTACTGCCACCCTTCCCCACCATGATGGAATGTGCCTTCCAAACTGTAAGCCAAGTACAGTCTTACTCCTGTAAATGTAGCTAATACAAGAATTCATCAAGAGTCCACCACAGGCAAAAATAATCACCTTAAGTTTAGCTGTTGTAAAGGTGATGACTTCTGAAAGAAGTCAAAAGGAAAGCGCATGAAATTATTATGTATAATTATATATCATCAAGTTTGAATCCTAGAGGAAAAAAATGGATACATTCTAGACAACCAATTGATGTACTCTTTGCTGAGGAAGACATACTCTCCTGCCCTCAGCTTTCCTTGGTTGCCCATTGTTCTTTATCTAGGGTTGAGGCCTCAAGGGCTTTTCCCCATCAAGTTTGGCATGGTCATTGGTGTCACCCTTGCTCAGCTCACATTTGGTAGTCATGTCAGAGACTTTATGGGTGTAGGGATACATTCTCACAGTAACTCTACCTCTGCCCCCCATCTTCTGGCTTTTATAATCATTCTGCTCCTTCTGCAGCTTTCCCTGGGTCTTAGAGGAGTCTTTTATAGATGGATCCATCGGGACTGGGCTCCATACCCATTTTGAAAACTACTTTGTAGATTTTGTAGGCAGCCAGAGTAAGACAGTAGATGAGTTAGATCCTGCAATATGAGAGTGACTTGTACTATTTAAGGATATCAGAGGATATTTAAGGATGTCACACAAATTTAGGAATTAAATTTTCTAGGCTAAAGAGAAAGACACAGTAATAATAAAGTGGTTCAGTGTTTTAACCGTAAGGTAATGAAGTCATCTTGGGATTTGAATCTTAGTTTATATCTCAGTAGGTATTAAATTTAACAGCAATCATTGTGGAGCTCAGTCAAACTGTACTGAAGCTATAGGAGTTATTATGGGCTATCAGTTATGAAGCCAGTTTTATTGTAAGGAATTTCAGGTGATTATACAGTATCCCAATGACCAGAGAAAACTGAACAATCATTTTGATATTAGGATATTGGCTTTGTACCCAGGGATTCTAGCAACCTCTGGCTTCATAGGATGGACAGAGATAGGCAAATTGTCCAGTGTCCTGTGGTTTATGGTCTATTAGATAGACTTAAGGCTACCAAGACAGAAAAAAAGAAATGTAAAACTAGTAAGCTTGCCATTTGACATTTTTTATTAATTAAGGTTTCCAGAATCAATGGTAATTTACTTTTCGAGGCATATGTTTATATTTAAAATGAGAAACAAAGATGGATAGTCAGAATCACAAAGTAGCAAAATACAGTGAAATTGTTTCTGTATTAGTGCTTTATTCTCCCTCTCTCTCCCTGTCCTTCTCCTTCTCCCTCTCTCTTTCCCTCTCCCTCTCCCTCTCCCTCTCCGTCTCCCTCTCCCTCTTCTCTCTCCCCCTCTTTCTCTCTCTCCCCCTCTCCCCCCTCCCCCTCTCCCTCCCTCTCTCCCTCTCCCTCTCATTCTCCCTCTCCCCCCCCATAGATTAAATCCAGAGTCTAGCAGATTTATGCTACAGAAGCACCCCTGAGCTGCATCCTCAGCTCTGCCTTTGTGTTTTTGTACTAGATTTGTATTTATTGATTGGTTGGTAGAATTCATGAGTGGGAACATTAGGGAGTGGAGTTTGGCAAGACATTTAACTTTGTAATAGACATACTTACATATATACATAGGCACATATGTAGGTATATATACATACATAGGCACATATGTAGCTTTATGTTTCCAACTCTGAATGTAAAGGCTATTTGAGCAAAAGGATTAAGACATCTGCTGTCAGACTGTCTTTAGCAGAGTCAAAAGTTACATCCACAAATTCTCACCAACATAACTGCTTAAGATGAGCTGAACAAAATCAGCATCAACAGGCATGCCACATTAGAGAAGGCCACAAAGTCTCTAGGCAAAGGAGATGCTAAGAGTGGAAGAAATAGTCTTCCTCAGAGAAGGACACACCCATTGGTTGTCTAACACCAAACGCTCAGGCCTGCTGTATGTACGTACACTGTACATAGACTGAGCAGGTTGTGTATGTGCCTTCAGGAATGCGTGTGTGTATTCATATATACATACATGTAAGTTATAACAATAAGTAAAAAGAACAATGAATTTGAAAGAGAGCAATCTGAGATATATGAGATGATTTCATAGGACAGTGAAAAGGAAGTGATATAACCTTAAAAATAAAATAAAAAAATTAAAAAGAATAAAGGCGTATTAAGAAGGTAAACACAAGAATCAAGTTTGAAGATTTGTAAACAAAGCAAAAAGATTTTTTAAAAAAGCCAGAGACTTTGCTTGCAAATATATTATGATAGCGGAGATGACTTTCCGACGATGCACATGTATCTGTTTATCCATGTACTTAGTGTGGTTTCACATCTTAATGATTTAGTACAAGAAAACACGTGAAAACACGTGAAATTACCTAACCTAAGTCACACTTGTTAGGTTTACTTTCATTAGCATGTCCTCCTTAAGAATTTATATTACTAAGGTAGCTTATTAAATAATTTAAAAATTTGGGTACCTCCACATATGTTAAAGCATACCAGCACTGAGAATCTTGAGTAGCATTTTATAGTACTTCTATCAAATTTTCAATATTCCTAAGGGGGAAAAATGATCAGAATATCCCAATCAGCATCTCATTTTTTTAAAAATATGACAAATTCCAAACTTCAACAGTTTTATGTCCCTTCTTTGGCTGATTTTAATTTCCCCTTTTTGGCACAGTATATGACGAACATAATCAGGCAGCATAGAACACATGCTACCAGTCCCCAGTGTCTGCTGTGAAGCCTGCTCCTTCTATTGCTGTACATTGCTAGCTGTCCTCACCACCGAATGCAGTGATTTTAACGACTAAAACAGAAGGAAGAATGCTACATTTCTCAGCTACTCTACTTCAATAATCTGTATCTTTAAAAGATGAATGGAGCTACTGGACAACTTGCTTTACAGAATGGATTGAACACAACGGGAACAATAAGAAACAGGGGAAAAAGCTAAAGTGGAAAAACATCAAGAAAAGACAAAGTAATAAAGAGGAAGAGGAAACACTGTGGGTTATTTTAATGTTATATCAAATACAATTTAAGGCAGTACTTTTATTACTAAATAGAATTTTGTACAACCCTAATATTTCTCCAATGTACCAGTGGATCTATATATGGATATGTATATATATGTGTACACACATACACATATACACACACACACATATTAGTTTATACCATTGGTTATATATATGGATATGGACATATATAGTCTGTACTAATTATATATAATATCCATGTATATCCAATGGTAAGACTAGTATATAAGTGTATGTATTATATGTGTATATATGTGTTATATATATATATATATATATATATATATATATATATATATACACACACACACACACACACACAAAATATATATGCAATGTGTATATATACATGTATAACAGCTAATCTTGAACTTGTGATTGTCCTGAGCTTCCTGAATGCTGAGATTGTAGGTGTAAGCTATCATGTCTCACTTTTATTACTATATTGTATAAAAAATTAAAAATGAATCTGCATTCTATTGGCAGAAATAATATTCAACATTTACTGCATAGCAAATATCTCAATAATTGATGCACATTTCACTAGGAGGGAACAATTCCTTTTGTTTTGGGAACATGAGGTACCAGAACTGTCACAGGAGTGACTAAATAGATACTACTCCACCCTCTTTACTAGGAGTGCTCTCAGAATGGTCTTCTAAAGGAATTCTTACAACTCCAGTTCGAGGGAGGAAAATTGGGGCTGAGAGAACTTAAATAACGCTAGACTCCTCATCCTGTTACAGTCTCATTCTGTTGGTTTAGTATTTATTTGATTCACATCTAAATTATAAACATTACCATTCTGTCCCTCCCTCATCTAAGGGACATTCCTATTAGTTTTCCAAATATGGATCCAAAGTGAGGACTGGGAGTCCTGTTGTGTTCTTTGCTTCTGCTCTCTGAAGAACCTTAGCATTCGACACTAGTGATTGTAACTAATTTTCAATCATAACTTACTTCTGCTGTGTTAATAGTTATAAAATTCTCCTTTATTGCCCAGATTCTTTGTTGTTGTCATTTTGTTTGTTTGTTTTAAAGCACATTTCATTTCCAGGGAAGACAGGGAATCTTCTTCCTTACAGTTTCATAAAATTAGCTTTTGTACTGTCTGTACTTAGTGTTTCTATCTTACTAGTCCACTATTGTTAAAGAGCTGTAAACATGGGAAGAACAGAGCAGGTTTTTACATGATGGGTGGCATTTTCTCTTCTTTTGGACAGAAAAACTCAGGAGATATGATAGCATGTCATCACTAAAACAGCTACCACTTTTCTGAAAAAAAAAAAATTGTAAGAAAATGTCAATAATCCACTACACTATTGGAAGAGTAAAACAACTTTAAAGCACAACGAACGAATGGAAACAGTATATTAATACTGGGAAGTTTAACTTCTGTCAAAAATAAAGTAATTATTGTAATGACATGAATTAGAAGACAATTCTAAAATTAAGGAACCAGCTTTTAAAAGCGAGTACTAGTGTCGTTCCAGTGCTAGGCTGGTAATTTGTGCTAAATATGTCATTCTAAAGCCCTAAATTTGCTTCCTCACTACTTTCACGATGCCACATTTAATTTATTATTGTATATGTTCATTATACTTTGTACATAAAGACACCTTATCAGAAGACAGGTTGTATGTAAGTGTTTATTTAACAGATGCAATAAGTAGCTGGACCTTGTAGGGCTGGCAGTATAGATAGGGGACTGAACGGTGCTGTGACGTATACTTAGCAGTAGATATGGTCGGTAGCCAATTAGCCACATGGTATTTCAGAATAGAGGTCTTCATTTCAGCTCAAGATTACCTCTGTCTTGTGAGGAATGTCCAAACTGTATTGTACATTTACAAGTACAGCTGACTTACAAAGTAAAGAATGGAAATTCTTCTTTTAATGTATTAATTGATCACTGTCTTCCCACCTTCCCAATACTAAACAATATTCTTGACTCTGATAATAAAGGAAGGGGATCAGGAATTCACAGGCGTCTTTAGCTATGTGAGACTATAATTTTTAAAAAAATGGCAGTATTTCTTAGAGTTAATAAAAACCTCGAGCCAGGCATGGTAAATCATGCAGTAATCCTAAAACTTGATTGGCCGAGGCAGAAGGATTTCTGGGACTACAAAGTGAGATCCTGTCTTAACAAATTAAAATTAAAATCTTTCAATATATTTGGGGTGATTAAACAACAACAAAACATGCACGCCTGCTTTATTAAACTTTTTTTCTAAATCTGTTCCACACACTGGCACATGCACGCTTGCTTTGTGCGCACTGGACATCATCAGACCACTGACCACTGAGGTTAATAAAAGAAAGATTCTACCCATAGTTTGTCCTTTGTTTCAAATTGTTGCAAGTTCTGTGGAGACTTAAACCATTACTTACTTCATCTAAGGCCTTACTGCTTTTGGTCTGGTGACTAAAATAGCTAAACAAGCTGCCAGTTTAACTCTGACAGTGTCATGATACTTCATGCAAGTATTTTCCTCACCGTCTCCCAAGTACTCTTGCAAGCTTCATTCTGGAATCATTTGGCAGCTTGTGATTGCAGTTGCACATCTTGTTTTGTGACAGGCTTTTATCATCACAGAAATTATTGACCTGCATTTACTAGGACAGCATGCCATCTCACGATATGGTCCTAGGACAGAGTATGCTGGCAGTCCTGTCTACAATGGCCACAGTCTGTCCTAATGGCTTTCCAGCTTCAATGTCTTTCCCTCTAAATAGGCACAGCTTGCAATACTTGGCACCCTGAGTGTGTGCTATGGCCCCTGACTCTAGTCTAACATCTGTGTTATTTATCCAGGAAATAGAACTTGTTTTTTTGTTTTTGTTTTTGTTTTTTTCTTATATAATGATAATGCCATCCTAATTTTCCTGAGAAATGGCAACTAAATTAAGGGTAGCAAATGAGAAGGGTGGACTGATAAAGTGATGTTGATAAATGCACCAAACAGCCAGATAAGGTCCTGTGGGAGGTGTGTCAAGGAGAGTTGATAGCTTCAACCATGGTATGGTGGTGTATAAGTGTGCACTTGTTCTTAGACTTTGAATGTAGAGCATAGAAACATGTATTGTAGCTGGAGCCAAAGTCAGATCATGTAAAAACAAAACCAAATCTCTAAGGACTGATTCTGTCAGACAAGACCACTCCCAGACCTTCCCATGCTTCTAACTACATGAGTGATCCTATGGCACTTAACCTTGTAGATGACTCCAGTGATTTGTAAGCGGCTCACTACTACATTTAAGAAAGAACCCGAGGTGCAGTATTTTCAGATACTTTATGTGGTCAGGTGAGGAGTGAATGGAAATGAAGATTCATATTCCTATATGTATTTAAGAAAAAAATGATCAGACATCCCAGTGAGAAAAATTTGATTGTGAATATAAACATGAGGTTTTATTACTCACAATATTATGTATAAAATTATTTTGAATAGTTAAAATTACAGTTTGAAGGTTATTAATACAGTTAAAAGGTAATTAATAGTGACACTGTCACATAACCACAATGGTTTTCAATTAAGTTTTTCTTCTTAGTTTTATGTTATTCTCCTCAAAACTTCTGAATCTTTAAATGTGTTTATAAACAAGTGGTATTCATATATTTCTTTATTCATTTTACAGATAAGTATGTGCCTTTAATGAGAAGACTTCATATTTCTACTGAAGAACAGAATTTCTATGTCTAAGGAATAAGAAGCCACTCTATTAAGGGGAGGGAAATTTAATTTATATACATTATGTCAACCTTTAATTTGTTGTTACTCAATAAATATTGTATCATTTTGTTACAACTTTGTATATTTGCAACTGCTGTATTTATTAGTGGGCTCCATGTTGTTAGGGACAAATTATACTATACTGGATTTCCTGTTTGAAAATTATTTTTAAAATGTTTTCTGCAGAGCTTTTGTTGCTTCCTTTTACCATATTATTGTAACTTTGTTTTCTTAATTAATTATTGTTGCTTTCTTTTTTGTCAGTGTCATAATTTAAAGAACTATAAGCCACAACTAACTGGTATGAATAAATAAAATTCTACTAAACCTTTTCCAATTTTTATGGGGGAAAAAAGAAAAATCTATTATATTGTTTTTGAGTTTGTAAATAGTAATAATTGTTTGTGCTAAAGTATGAAAAAGAATAAATATGATTTAAAATTATTTAAGTGGTACAGACAGAATGCGTTTACAAAATAAATACTGCATAATTATATATTAACATGTGTTTTATATTATCTTTATATATATACTGAGTCCAAAACATTTTTCCCTAAGTATAGTGTCTCATACCTGTATTTCCTGTATTAAGGTGGATCTCTGGGAGTTTGAGGTCAAGGATAAAGCAGACAGAGAAGGTTGAATATCTTTTTAGAGGTTATATATTTTGGAAATTATGAATTTCAAGTACAATTGTAGTGTAATGTGAGAGAGTTAATAATACAAATTGTATGTTTATAAGTCTGAATCTTGTCAGAGATCAAGAAATTGAAATTTTTCATCTGTGGACTTTGAAGTCAAGGATTCTATGTAGAGATTAGCTTTATCTCGCAGCAAATCCAATCCCACTCAGGACCGATTTTTACATATTTTAAAATTTAGAAGAAAAAGAAAAGGCATGGGTCATAAAAGTTCATTGCTTGTTAACATCAATGAGGTCATTTAAATCTTGACAGATGGACTGATCCCCAGTCATAGTGGCTTAAAGGATTTATTTACTAACATCAACTTTACTTTATCATGTTTACTTCTACTGTGTTTGACATTTTCTCTGTATCAAAGCTGATTAAAAAAAACTACCTCAAAAGCAAACTTGGCTATTTTATAGGCTTCTGCTCTATGATGATGAATTAATTTGGTATTGACTAAAGCCAACCTTGAGGCTACTCTCATTCAACAAGACCACAATAGAATCTGCTCTAACAGCAAGAAAAAGATCAAAAGAAAAATCGCTGTCTACTTAAGTATAAACCAGGTCTCTAATATTTCAAATAAAACTCAAAAATTCATATGCTAAAAAGTGTTCTTGTCGCCACGTTCTCTTCTTACATTGGCGAGCTTTGCTGGCTGTCCACCTAGGTTATGTGACACCTTCATTCTGTGGCTGGGGTTGTGGTCATCTTAAATTTCATCTTGACTGAGACTCCAAAGCAGCTTAATCATATGTTGGCAGCTGGTAGAGAGTTCAACTATAATGCTTAACATGAATTTAGCAGCTAGATTCTGAGATCATTCTAAGGGAAATGTAAAGACCAGCCACAAAGCTCAGGATTTCATTTCAGGTGGATGTGGATGTTGATTCTGACACATTCTAGTCATTAAGCCTGTCACTAAGATTAATTTAGAATTAAGTGGAGAAAACTGCAGTCTACATGTTTGAAGTGGAAATTTCTATACTCTAACAACTCAGTTGAGTCATGTGATGTTTTTCTGGATACTGGCTTTTGAGAGAGCATGTGATATTTTGCTAAAAACAGACACTTGAGAGGGAACTTGATGCTTAGAATATAAATGGAACCTTACAAACAGTGAGAAGATACTCTTGCATTGCTACACCATGCAACATTCTGCTGGTCTTCGATGGTCTTTCTTGATCTACACTTCCTAGAAATACACGTAAGAACTTCTCATGACAATGGTTGTCGTGATGGAGGCAAGAAGCCATGAAAATAGAACAATGTAATATAGCAAGGGGGATAAATGTTGCTGAAGATCAGCTGCTTGCTGAAGGGCCATTATACTAGCCTGTGAGAACAAATTCAGTCTGATGAGGTCATAATTAAATATCATGCTGCAGCTTTAAAACCTTGAGAGCCATATCAGACCATGAAACCAAAGAGTCATGGATAGAGATTTTGGCATTTGAAAATGCAAACACTGAAAGTAAGAGAGCAAGGAAGAGGACATCCTCGTGGAGACGGGTGGAGGGGTGGGTTGGGAGGGTAGACTGGGAAGGAGGAATAAAATCTGGAGTGAAATAAATAATTTTAAAAAAAGAAATTAGAATCAGGGCATATGTGAAAAAGGAGATGCAACTTTATGCAGGGAATAGAATTGTTCAACAGTTGTTTCCTTACATCAAGGACACAGTTGCTCCAGCAGAAAGAACGGGCTTTTGTGAGTACTGGAAAGTAAGTATTCTGGAAAACAGTGCTTAATGATCAGAGACAGAAATTAATGGTACAAAAGAATGGTGTGGAAATAGAAGGTTTGGTGGACACAGGAGCTGACATTAGTATACTTTCCCCAAAGGTTTGAACACATCAGAATTGGTAATTCGTCATAAATAAGACATCGTCCCATGGGTTACCTGTGTGGGACCAGAAGGGCAAAGGGAAGCTGAGACCTTGTGTAGCCGATCATGTTCCTGCGTGTGTGTCCAATAAGATTAAACTTCTTTGCATCTTACAATATAAAACACATTACTGGCATGCTACACAACCCGACATGAGAGGCAGATATAGAAAGAGCCAATTGTACCTTAAAAAAATGCTTATTAAACAGAAAGAATAAAAAAATCCCCAGGAACAGACTAAGTAATGCTGTGTTAGCTCTCAATTTTCTTAATATTAGTTTAAAAAAAATAAAAAGGAACAACAACAGCTAAGAAACCCTGGGTTATCAAAAAACGGAGGAACTAAGCCAACCAATACATTATGAAGATGTGTTGACGTTAGAATGGAAACCTACAATAGTTTTAAGGTGGGAATGCGGTTATGTTTATGTATCTACAAGGAATGAAAAAATAGGGTTACCAACAAAGCTTATAACAGATTTTACCAGGGAAAACCTCTTATCAGCTGAGGCATAAATGTCTTCACAAAGTAAATAGCCCGCCCAGGTGATTGACTCTCACAGACTATCCCAGTCGCTAACCTCTCTAAAATATGCATGCAAATCAATTTCAAAAGGGCTAGCCCAACTGGTTGATCACACAAAGACTGGACAGAAACTGGATATCAAGAGACCAAACATCACACAAAGTGGGCAGACAACACAGACAGAAAAAGATACAGCTAGCTTTTGAGGGATTTGGCAAATATCCCAATTTTTATATGGTACTCAGAAGATATCTTTGTCTCCAGACAAGTAATTTTAAGAATATGATTCTCCTATTTCCTAAAAGTATGATGGATGGTTTTGGTCATTTGATGTCTTACGTTTGTTATCATCTAGAATGATTGGTTGTTATTGGTTATAGTCAGAGAAGAAACAAAGTTTAAATCAGGGGTCTCCATTCTGTATCTAATAATGGGGAAAAGAGGAAAAAGGAGAATAATAACACGAATAAATAAAAATAATAAAATACTAGTCTTATATATTTGATAGAAATTTAAGGTTGTATTGTTTGACTATTGTTTAGCGATGGAAATTTAAGGTTGTTTTGTTTGAGTATTGTATATTGAGTTTTATGGTTCTCACAATTTATTTCTATTGTGTGTAGATTGTTAATGTTCGAGAAAAAGACAAGAGTTTTGTTGTTGTTTGTTGTTGTTTTTTTTTTTTTAACAGAAAGGGGGATATAAAGTGAACATTTCTGGTTTCCTTAACAACTCAGCTGTGCCACATGATGTTTTTCTGGAAGCTGTCTTGTGAGAGGGCATGTGATATTTTGCTGAAAACAGACGCTGAGAGGGCTTGTGATGTTTACAAAGAATATTACTAGAACTCCACAGAATGTGAGAGGGTGCCCTTGCATTGCTACACAATGGAATGCTGTTCTTTGCTGTTTTTTCTTCGTCTTCACTTCATAGAGAGAAATGTGTGAAAGAATTTCTTGTGGTATTCTGGTTGACTGTGGCCGCTGCTGCTGACTCCTGCTGATTCGGTCGAGCCTTGCTGGGTCTGTTGGAGTACGCCATTGCTATGGTTCTGCGTTTGCTGTTGGACTGGAAGGCTGGCATCTGACGCGGAGGAGTGAAGGAGTGGAATTGCCCCAAGGAACTACTTCCAAACAAGTCCACAACCCTCTTTTCCTATTAACCTTCTTTTTCCCCTACCTCTGGTCAGTGGGTTAGAAGTGAGGTTGAAGCCATTAAGAACCATAAATAAAGTAGGTTCAAAAAAAAAAAAAAGAAGAAGAAGAAAGAAAAAAGAAAAAATCTTTATCTCTACTTGCTCATCATGGGAGCAAAACACACACAGAAGGAATCCAGCGGTGCCCAGTTTAGGATGCCACTAATGTAGGCTATTTACCAGGATTTATAACTTCCTTATCTGCAAAGCAGGCCAATCTTTCGCCAGTGTTCACTAAGTTGTATCTCATTTAGGGCTTGGATTAGACACAAGGATTTATATATTTAAACTTAAAGATGATGGGCTTGAATGCAGTTATGTAACTTAATGCAATTCCTCAAACATGGTTTCTCTTTAACAAAACAATACAAACAAAAGAAGCAAATGATCTTTTCACCAGTCAATGTTCCAAAGGAAACACACAGGTTTGAAGTTCATTAGAAATTCAAATGATTATAAAAGGATAATTTTGACTGGAGGGACATTAAAACGTTATGCTGTGTCTTTCTATGGAATACTAAATGACATTTTGGTTTAATTGTTAAATTGAATGTCTTATACTGTCTCTCACCTCTAATACTTTAGCACTTGGCCGTGAAAACATTTGATATTTGTTCTCCCGGTAATGTTGAATCAGCGCCCAGTTATTAGCTCTTTCTGACACACTCATTCCTCCACACATGTCACCTATTTGGTTGGGTTCTAGTTGGGCTCCAAGGATTAAAGCTTTGCCACCTGGTTCTCCCCTAGGCTGCTGACACTGAGCGCTAAGGCCTATGCTTGATTTTGAATAACTGAGTCTGTTTTATGTTAATAGAAATTTGAGCCTCCTCCTTCGTTCCCATTGGGGTGTATACCATTAGACAATGATATCACTATGGTTTCTGTTTTCCCTGAAGGTGATCTTTGTTTTAGGACTTAGAGTCATGATGCTGTCTTGCTGTTTGTCTAGAAAAGTTGATATGCATAGGAGTTTGCTTTATTTGTTTGTATGATTTTGCCCTAGAAGTCTCATTAAAAGTTTTTTCTAAGTGCACTATTGACCAGAACCCTGCATTAAGGTCACAATGTCGTACATTACTGAAAACAACCTCAAGTTTTTAGACCTTGTTAAACAGAGAATCAAAAGGAGAAGTTATAATGACTCTTTTTCTTAAATGTGACCAGTTATTTGGACTCAGTCATGTAGTGGTCTAGAAATAAATCCAATACTGGAAATAACAATCTTCATTTGGAAATCTGGTTCTGGACAATTTCAGGGACATATATGGAAGTTAGTTAGCTGCAGTTCTCTATGATGTTATGTTAGCAAGAGATAAAGTTGGGGTAGAATCTAGATTTCAAACAAGTGTTAGTACATGTGATAAGGCTCTTTTAATTGTCAAGTTACTTTTGTTTCTTCTACAGCATTTAATATAAGTTGCATTGATTGTACACTTTCTTTTTTATTGGATATTTTATTTACATTTCAGATGTTATCCCATTTCCACTCATTCTGCCCAGGAACCCCCAATCGCATCCCCCCTCCTCCTGCTTCTATGAGGATGTGCCCCCACCTTGCCCCCCACTCCCACCTCCCCACCCTCAAATTCCCCCACACATGGTGTCCAGCCTTCATGGGACCAAGGATCGTCTATCCCACCTATGCCCAACAAGGCCATCCTCCCGCATAGCTGGAGCCATGAGTCCCTCTGTATGTGCTCCCAGGCTGGTAGTTTACACTCTGGGAGCTCTGATTGGTTGGTATTGTTGCTCTCCTCATGGGGCCACAAACCCTTTCAGCTCCCTCAGTCTTC